AAGCATCTAATTTTGTGAGGATTTTGCTAAAGTCTTCCAACAGACTCTTTCTTAAGCAATCAGAATTTGCTTCTGACCAGCTAAACTGTCCACAAAATCTTGAGTTAACAAAATACTCTCCCTAGTGAATTCATCTGGCATGGGTTTTAACTTTCACATATCCTGTGCAAGATCACACTAAACAGCAACTGAATTTTTACACACCTGTAATTTCAGCTTCTCCAAAAAAAAAAAACCTACAAATATTAATTGGTGTAAAAATAAAATGTCAATGCCAGGAAAGCACAAGCTGCTACATGAAGGTGAATTGCACTACCACATTTCAGATCCAAACATCAGTCACCTTTGGGGTTGCCGTGTACGATGAGATTTATAATCTGGATACTCTTGGGTGGTAGTTTCAAAAGACACTTACTAATATGCAAAAAGCCTGCCAGCTATCTAATGCTGGCAACTACTGTTGAATGGTCAGTTAAATCTGTGATAATGGTTGGAAGTGGGTGGGATTATAAAATTGTAGATGTTTTTAGAAAAACTTGTGAATGAAAATGAATCCCAGTGTTTCATGTGAAGATGTGGAGCCACTTCTATCATGCATTCCTGTCTCACAGCAGAAAATTTTGAAGATTAAAAAATAATGAAAATGTTTCGTCTCTCTTAAAAAAAAAAACCAAAACACAAAAATCAAATTCTCAGCTGGATTCACTTCAATTACAAATTTCAGAGACTGATTGTAAAGGATCTCTAAGCAGAAGCATCTAACAATTTGCTCTCCTATTCGAATTTACGCAAAATCTAATTCATATTTTTTCAGCACAAAAGCCAAAACAATCTCATAGCTTGTATGTGTGTGTGGGGTGGGGCAAGGTTGATCTAGATTCTATCCTTACTGTGTGTGTGTGTGTGTATGCACACTCAGAAAGCTGTGGAATCTACCATAAATCTGAAAAATGTCTAGCATGGATCAATTACAAAAGAATGTTAAAAGTTCATACAAGTTTCATTAGTGAAGCTGATAAACCATCATGACTACATTATGTGTATTTTATTGCATTTATTTTGCTTTTATCACTAATTTGTTGTGGAGATGAACATCTTTCTCAGTTAAATGTCTATTCTCTATGCTCAATGTCAGGGGCAGAGGTTCTTTTTATTAGCCTTATTTAGCACTGTGCACAGTACATTCCAGTATATTCTGGAATAATAAACCATGGGTATAAACTACTCAGACTTTCTAGGTCTTAACTGATCCCTTAAATCCTACAGCAGAGAAGAGTAAATCTACGAAAGGAGATCATCAGCTACACCAAATGACTCACTGTTGGGTGTTGTCCAGAAACCAGGCTGTTGAATTTCAAGGACTGGGGACTGGCTTTACCTTTCAGAGAGAAACTGTTTATCCCAATGACTGAATGCCTTAATGCAAAATTTCACTAAAGCTTCAAGTTCCTCATTGGACTCTGTTTGGGGATTTTATTAACTCACAGAAAATAACCAAGTTTATAATGTTATACAGGGAATAGCCTGGAAAGCACTTCCTTAATATTGCCTATAACTCCATTTTAAGCAAGAGCTGAAATTAGGATAATAGAGAAGACAGAGGAGATCAGTCTTTGGTGGTGTTAATATAGAGACAAGTATACTAAAATCTCGTTCTCTAACAAGTCAACCAAGAAAAAAGTAAAGGCACTTAAGATTTCATTCTTCTTGTGAAGGAAAGAAAAGTGTGGGACATCAGGTTCACACCTGTCTATGTATGGACACTAGCCACAATAAATACAGTTGCTAGCTACAATTGAGAAAGGAGAAGTACTAGACTTTAGATCATTGTAGAACATAATATGAGAATAATCTGGTGAGAGTCGGTTTAAATTTGCTTCAGTTTTTTTTTTTTATTTTTTTATTTTTTTGCTTCAGTTTTGAAACTAGTTTAAATGTTCTATGTTCAGCTGATTTTTTAACTAGTGTTTTCTAACTGAAGAGATGAATGGAAGGGTGAGTTAAAAATACAGTGGAGAATTTTTTTTTTTTTTTTAGACTCTACTACCTGATCTGTTTATTGGACTCAAAAGACCAAGGGATCCTTTTGGATGAGGGTCTTAACATAACATAAACAATCATACATGACACGAAGAACCAAAATTTTGAGCTGAATGAAATCCTGACGTGAGACTTTGGAGCTACCTGTCTTAGGGAGGAGGTGATGGCATGCCACAAAAAAGGCCATCCTGGAAGGAATATTGGGTAGTTAAAGGAATGATAGTAGCAGACAATGCAATTTGTTACATAAAGACTCTCATGTATTATTATCCCTTGCTCTCTTCGACCATAAAGGCTGGAGGCATAAATTCAATTTTCCAGCCTACTTACAGTGGTGAATATTTTAATTCATGGTTTTAATAATGTCTACACTATAGCATCAGTAATACCAGAATGCTACTTTAAGTACAGCAAAATTCCAAACTCTAAAATTTTCATTTTTTTCTTGAACAAATTTTGATATATCTTTGTTCTTACACAAATTTCTGATATGCCACATACTAAAAATGATCCACTCTTGACAGGTATTAAACATTTTATTTAAAGAGTTTAAAGTAAAAAAAGAAATACACAGATACAGATTACATTATGATGGCCAAGGGGTATTCCACACGACAAACACCAAAACAAATTTATAAAGTAAACGTACCGGTACTGAACAAGCATAATATTTGATATC